TTCAATGGTGATCATCTTGGTAAACTCTTCATCAACCCATCATATTGCATATACTTAAATCCTCAATCAACCCTTTTCTTTCTTTCTCTCTTTACCTGATTCATTAATTTAAATCAGAAACTCATCATCTTCTTCATCCTCATCCAAAATCCTGTTGAACTCTTCTTAACTCCTCAGTCATCCATTTTCTTTCAAACCATATCACTAAATGTCATCCAGTCCAGAACAATTCACCGGCTAGTCAGTCTCCTCTACTCCTGTCTCTTTCAATTCATATCAATATATCTCTTGAATGTGACATCTTGACTCATGCTTTATATTGATGTCATATTTACCACAGTGCTGCTATGGATGAAAGCGCAGGGAAGAAGCTTGATTTAGAAGTCTACAAGTACACCCCTCAAAAATGGCACGAAGGCTTGGTTGATATCAAAATCAGTCATTGTTCAATTTGTGGTAGTTGCATCCATACCCTTACGTGAGCACTTTGATCTGCATGGTTTTGTTTCGAGTTTGATTGTGATTCGAGTTGTGTTTTTAGTAATGGTTGGCCTAGCCCCACTAAATATCCAGCTATCTGCGGTCATGAGATTGTCGGAGAAGTCGTTCGTGCTGGGAAGGACAGTGGTCATAAGGTTGGATCTCGTGTTGGAGTAGGCGCCCAATCTGGATCATGGTAAGTGCGATTGTTTTTACTTTTCTTTGTTTAGCCTAGCGATTTAAGTGAGACGACCCTGTTACAGTGGTTCCTGCGAATGGTGTAAATCCGATCAAGAACCGTTTTGTGAAAAAGGAATGATCGGAACTTACCAAGGAGAATGGGAAGATGGCTCTCTTGCCCAGGTCAGTTTTCGGATTCCACTAAATTCATCAACACGCATGTGATTCTGAATCATGAGACGAGGTTCCAATTGGATTGATCACCATTTGTCTCTGATATTTACCTTGAGCAGGGAGGTTATGCCGATTATATTCGTGTAAAAGGTTCGTCTTCTTGACTTATCTCCCCTTGATCCATCTACTAGTCTTCTCATCCCAGCGACGTATTCAACATCCTCAGGGAAATTTGCCATTGAGATCCCCAAGGAACTTTCTTCCGAGACTGCTGCCCCTATGATGTGTGCTGGTAAGCAAATCACCTTTTGCTGTCCGTTCGTATTCGACCCACCTTGTCTAACACATGCTGCATATCGCTACACAGGAGTTACTACCTATAATCCAGTCAAGATGGGCGGCGCAGGACCCGGTAAAAAGGTCGCTATCGTTGGTATCGGTGGTTTAGGTCATTTGGGATTACAAGTCAGTTGATCTCTCGAATAAATCGCACTGTAAATATCTTTACTGATACGATTCATCTCAAATTGGATTCGTTTGAATTCCACAGTGGGCAAAAGCTCTTGGGGCCGAAACGTTTGCAATAAGTCATTCTGATTCTAAATTGGCAGATGCCGAAAAGTTGGGAGTCAAAAAAGAAAACTTTATCATAGCCAAAAATCAAGAAGAGACTGCTAAGAAATGGGAAAATAAGTTTGATTTGATTGTTTGTACAAGTTTTCAAAAAGATTTGCCGATTGAAAATCTTTACTTTAAATTATTAAGACCTAAAGGAAGATTAACCATTGTTGGTTTACCAGAAGAAAAGTAAGCCTTGATTTTTCATATCACAGTGATCTTGTATATAAAGTCAATTGATTTGTGCCTTTTGCTTTTTAATCATCAGGATTCCCGCGTTCTTTGGGCAAGCTTTGATTGGAAAAGGGATCAGTTTTGGTGGAAGTATCATTGGACCACCAGAGTTGATCAAGGAGATGCTTGATGTGGCCGTCAAACACAATGTCAGATCTTGGACTTCTTCTCATCCGATGAAAGAAGTTTCACAAAAAGTCAAAGATATGGATCAAGGAAAAGGTACGTCTTTCTTAGTATCTTTAACTCGTGTCTTTAGTTTGACTCATTAATTTATAATCCTGCTTTTTTGATTTTCTCTTGTTTTCCTTTTTGTTTGCGATTTGCTTGTTGAAACAGCCCGCTACAGATTTGTCATGACCAATTGATTCCGCCTTGACTGTTAAAAGTGAGTTGTATATATGCAAGCTTTGTTAAAAATCGTGTTGAAGGCATTTTTTACGCCCCATATGTCATCTTTGTATCTATTCTATGGCCATGAAGCTTTATTATCTTATCAAAATCAGACAGCATGTTGACCTTAGAAACAAAAAAACAAACTCAAGTGGTAATCAAGTTATATTTAGAAATTAAGAAAGATTGTAAATAACAAGAAGAAAAAAATCACCAAAATGTTTTGTTTGGATGTATCGAAGCTAATTTTTTCGTTGTCATAATCTAGACATATGATACGCTGATCGAAAAAAGCATAGGAGGATGCGCACAACGTTTGATCATACGTGTTAGCTTGTAGCTGACACTACTTGGAGGTTTCAGATGTCGGGAATGAGTAGCGAGACTACTGATTTCTTACTCATTGTCAGTCCAATTGATCGTGCGAGCTGTTTTTTTACTTGAAATGGTTTCGAAGGATTGTTGGTATTTTGGGGCCAGACTCCAGAATTGTCTTGTCAAGTTGTTGGTGTAGAGTTGGATGGCTGGCCGTTGACCGATTTGACACAGTCCTAGGGGATGCGAGTCTAAAACAAGCCCATTGATGGACCTGTGTGTGATTCTGGTACGTTCCTCTCTTCCCTAGAAGACTCGCCTACTCGGAGCCAACCAGAACGTTTGAAAGTTGACGTTCTTCAGGTAGCTCCGAGCTTCCGAGCTGGCCCAGTGATCCCAGCAAAAGCTCTCTCACCGGAGCCAGTTGGAAAGAGTAGGAAAAGAAGGCGAATTGGAATGTCAGTCTGCAGCAGAGATGGCTATGGTTGCGACTTCCTAGCCTATCGAGATGAGCTTGCCTTCTATCAATCGACCAAGAAATGGCTCAAATGGCAATAAAGATGTAGGAAGTCGAACTCTATATAAAGATATCTTCTCCTCAGAGTTTGTTCTTCCTTACTTCTTCTTTAAAGTAGAATCACATCGTACTTAGAGATTCATCCTTACAATCAATCTTCCTCAGCATTTAAACTTTTTTTATAAACTCGAAAAATGTTCTTCAAAACTCACTCTATGAAAATAACACTGGTTGTTATCTTGATCTCTCTTATCAGTCTTTTTCCTATTATAAATTCTTTACCTCATTCAATTTCTCGTCATCACAAGCAATCTAAACAAAGTAGTGGACATTTATCTTCGATTAAGATCTCAAAGAGTTCTTCTCCTTATCATCATAAACAGGCTGGATGGTTTTCGATACCTAGGATGTGAGTCAAAGTGATGTGGTTTTCTTTACGTGTGTTTTTTTTTCGAATCAACTGAGAATCTGATAATTGGAATTGTTGAATTTTTTTTAGATATCAAAAATCTAAACCGTTGGTTATCAAAGTAAGTATCAAGCATTGGTTTTTTTTGCCTCAAACCGATGAACCTTGGAATTCAATTGAATGATTATGCGCAAGTGTTAAAGTAATGCCAAGAGTTATGGAACTGATCAAAATTGAATTATTTTGATCACTTTAGAAACAAAAAAGCCCTGTTTACGAGAAGATCATCACTCATACTACTACTCTTAGAGGTTCACAGTCAGTTTGATTTCCTTAACATTTTCTTTTATTTTCTTTATCAATTCTAATCTCAAAAATAATCTGGTTGTTGACATTTCCTTTTTTTTTCTGGTCATAATAGTTATTCATCAAAACACTCTTCGAAACCTTCACCACCTTCTTTCATCCCGACTCAAAAACCATCTACAAGACCATCAACGGCTGCGAAGGTAACCGCTTCGAACGCGCCTGCTCAGGATTCGTCTGCTTCGGATAAGGCTGCTCCAACATCGCCTGCTTCGAAATCGACGGCTTCGAAAGCTCCAGCTTCGAAAGCTCCAGCTTCGAAATCCTCTGCTTCGAAATCGTCGGCTTCGAATGCGCCCGCTCCGGATTCGCCTGCTTCGGATGAGGCTGCTGGAACATCGCCAGCTTCGAAATCGACGGCTTCCAATGCGCCAGCTTCGAAATCCTCTGCTTCGGAATCGACGGCTTCGAACGCGCCCGCTCCGGATTCGCCCGCTTCGAAAGAGGCTGCCCGAACATCGCCAGCTTCGAATGCGCCAGCTTCAAAAGCGCCGGCTTCAAAAGCGCCAGCTTCGAAATCCTCTGCTTCGGACTCCTCGGCCTCGAATGCGCCAGCTTCAACGGCGTCAGCTTCGAAATCGACTGCTTTGACTGCGCCTGTTGCAAACCCACCTGCTTCGCAAGCGCTTGCTTCAAAAGTACCGGCTTCAAATGATCCTGATTTGAAAGGGTCTGTTCCGCAAGCGCCTGCTCTGAAAGCGCCTGCTCCAGGAGTACCTGCTTCAACGGTACCTGCATCAAAATCGTCGGCTCCGACTTCGCCAGCTTTGGAAGCGCCTGTTCCAAAAGCGCTTGCTCCGGAAGTATCTGCTTCGAATGAGCGTGCTCCAACGTCGCCAGCTTTGAAGGCCTCTGCTCCAACGTCGCCAGCTTCGAAAGCCTCTGCTCCAACGTCGTCAGCTTTGGAAGTGCCCGCTCCGGAAGCACCTGCTTCATCAGTACCGGTTTCAAACTCGCCTGCTCCCAACTCGCCTGCTTTGAAATCGCCTGCTCCGGAGGCACTTGCTCCAAAAGTACCTGCTGCCAAAGCACCGACTGCGAAGGCTTCTACTCTCGAAGCACCAACTGCGGCAGCTGCTACTCTCGAGGCACCGATTGCGAAAGCTCCCGCTCTCAAAGCACCGATTGCGACAGCTCCCTCTCTTGGATCCAAAGCACCGACTGCGAAAGCTATTACACCGAGCGCTTCTACTCTCAAAGAGCCTACTCCGCCTACGACAACAGTCATTCCCAAGGCGGCTGTTCCTGTTGCACCAAAGGGAGTCACTAGCCCTTCGGTACCAAAGGTCACTACCGGTTCTCTTCCTACCGGCCATGTGGCTACCTCAGGTCCAAATCCGGCTCTCAAGAACGCTCCGTCGACGGCTTCAAAGTCAGCGCTGAAATCCATTCCGAAGTTGGCTCCAAAGACGGTTTCATCGGCGGCTCCAAAGGCAGTTTCATCAGCGGCTTCCAAGGCAGTCTCAAAGCCAGCTATGAAACCCGTTCCAAAGTCGACTCCGAAGGCGGTTCCATCGGTAGCTCTCAAGCCAGTTCCATCGGCGGCTTCAAAGGCGGTTCCTTCAGCGGCTCCAAAGCCAGTCTCCAAGCCAGCTATGAAACCCGTTCCAAAGTCGACTCCAAAGGTGGTTCCATCGGCGGCTCTCAAGCCAGTTCCATCGGCGGCTTCAAAGGCAGTTCCTTCAGCGGCTCCAAAGCCAGTTACAAAGCCGGCTATGAAACCCGTTCCAAAGTCGGCTCCGAAGGCGGTTCCATCGGTGGCTTCAAAGCCTGTTCAAAAGCCAGCTTTGAAGCCAGTTCCCAAGGCGGTTTCAAAGCCAGCTCTGAAGTCGGCTCCGAAGGCAGTTCAAAAGCCAGCGACGGTCCCGAAGCCAGCTCCCTCGACGGCACCAAAGCCAGCTCCGACGCCAGCTCCAAAGGTGGTCCCAAAGCCAATCGTGAAGCCGACTCCAAAGATGGTCCCAAAGCCCGCGCCAAAGCCAGCTCCCAAGGTGGCCCCAAAACCAGTGACGAAGCCGGCTCCAAAGGTGGCGCCAAAGCCAGCTCCCAAGGTGGCCTCGAAACCAGTGACGAAGCCGGCTCCAAAGGTGGCGCCAAAGCCAGCTCCCAAGGTGGTTGCGAAGCCAGTCACGAAGCCGGCTCCGAAGGTGGCCCCGAAGCCAGCGCCGAAACCAGTTCCAACAAAAGCTCCAAAACCAGCTCCCAAGAAAGTTTCAAAGCCAGTCCCCAAGAAACCTTGATTGACGGCTCTCAATGTCTCTCACCGGATTCAAATCACGTCACCGATACCAATTTTACTCGCTTATATCATCATCAATCATCAATTGTATGATTCTAGTTGGTAAAAACGGTGGCTTGACGGTTCTGAGCACATGGGATGGAGATTATCGTGAACGGTTTTTGGATCAATTGGCAAATGGGCTTTCGCTGAGGATTGGCTGACTGGTGGATACTTTGGAATGGCTGAGGGAGTGGCTCAAGAGCAAGGTGACTTCTCTCGCTCAAGGAAGACACTTTTGGCAATGCTTTATCGGGAACGGTTCAGAAGGACTTTGGGGTTTGCTGAGGACGGCTTAGGTGGTCAAGGCTTTGGATAGCAGGAATGAAACGGGCTTAATTGGAGGCAGCGCAGTCAAGGAGATGCCCGGTGAGACGGTTTTTTGGAAAGGATTCAAAGGGACATGAGGTGGTATGAAAACAAAGGCTTGAAGGAAATGTTACGATGGATAATTTAGACTTCTTAGATTGTATTGCTTGTGATGAATTTTGTATTTTGTTTATTTTGTTTGTTGAATCACATTTTATGTAGCATGTTTTTTTCGTTCTTATTTGTATAATTTGGGGTGATTTAGATTGACTTTGTAAGTCAATAATAGCTATTGATTGGCTTTGATTTGTTGCATTTTGATCTTTACATTATGTCTGGAGTCTGGACTCTGTTTACTGCATTGGGTTTTCTTCCGATTATTAGATCTTGTTACAATGTATGACTATGATTTCCAATTTGATTATGATTTGATATTCATCTCTGATTTTCTTTCAAAGATAACCAGATCTTTATCGGAATAGATTCGACAGCCTCGAATAAAGTGATAAGGAACAGTTATGAGTGAACAATTCCACGACAAAACTGTTATTTTGATGGAAATGATATAATTGACATGATCTTTATCAGCAATGTGAGGAATATGAAGACTTTGAAGAACGATCGAGGAGTTTCTGTTATCCGACCCGGGTACCATGTCAGTTACTATCACATGCTGTTCATGTGTATTGCGAATTGGTATTACGGTTTACCGCGATATCCAGATTCCAGACTGATGACACCGCGGGAATTGATAAGTATGAAACTCGATTGAGCGAAGTTGCGGTGTCCGAGTCCGCAACTTCCTTCAATCACGGGTTTCGTTTGCAATACGTTCACATTACGTTTGCAGGTTCCCCTCGGGCTGCCCTGTATGCGCACGTCTAGTCAAATTTCATGTATCATGTATCCTGTTTTGTCACAATTCCGTCTCCCTCAGTTCCTTTCACATGATGATCAGAGGCCTCAAAAGGGACCTTAACCACACCAGTAACTTATCAACACGCTCGTTCTTAGCTTGTTCTCCGTCAATGTATTGGAATAATAGATTATGTTTGCCAACTCTGGAAAAGTTCTGACTGATTCTAACCACAATTATGCAACAAGAAACTTTTGATGGAGAAGTATGCTCAAATATTTCTAGCTATGTGCCAATAAATTGCACACAATTTGATTATTTCAGCACATTGACAATTGAAACTACAGTATAAATTTAGTACTGTTTCATGCAGGTTTCAGATATTGAGTGAAATGTGATGACAAATGTTTCCAAGGACAAGCCTGAAATGATGTGTCGATGTAGGCACCACACTGAACACAAGTGGCACAGAGGGTTGGCCTCTTCTGGAGTCTTTGCTTATGCTGGGTGGTAGATGGTTAGCTCATGGCATAGATAAGAGCCACTGAAATTCCAGGGGGGGGGATAGCATTTGATACTTGGTCCTGTCCAATTTCCTAACCCGCTGTATGGAAATCAAGCTTGTGATCTGATGATTCCACAGCTGATCCGGCTACGCCGGATCAAGCCGGATCAGGTGTTTAGAGACCCCAAGCCTCTGGCTTGGTAATCACATCTGTGCCCTGGTCTCACTGCTTTTGGCCTGGCTCTGCCAGACCAGGGTTTGGAGTGGGGTATCATGAATCTTGTCTTTATTGGAGACCACAAGCAGCTGTAGGTGCCTGATGAAATTTGATGAGATTTGAAATTAAATACGGTATGACCCTCAAAACTTCATGTTGTACATGCATCCTAGATCAATGAATTTTACAGAAACATCATATGTAATCACAGTTGACAGTCAATGTATCATTGAAGAATTGTTCCCCCTGAAAGTATATGTGGTGTCTGATGTATCTAAAGCCATATCCAAATTTGAGTTTGCAATTCTATTGAACCTCATTTGCTCATCTCCCTCCACTCATGCAGAATGTCACATGTATGCAAGGTACTCTAGAATCCTGCAATTGGGTTTCCTCCTCTGCAGATAACACAATTTGTACCCATGATCAAATTTCAATCTTCCATTGTGTGATTGTAGATGTTGGCTCAGTTGAAAATTGGAAGGAGGGGCTTTGTCTTCCAGGATAATACACTTTTTTTCATCAAGATGATTAGTTTGTCTTGAAACTAATTATTTATCAATTTATTTTGTTTAATATGGTGAAATCTGGTAATAAAAGGTATGCTGGCCTTTGAATGAGTTGATGGAAAAATTGACAAACATTGGATGTTTCATTCACAATTCTTCCACATTTAATACCAAAATCTATGACAAAATTACATGGTATCTGTTTTATTTCAGAACCAGAAACTCCATCACTCCTTGTTGTCCAAACAAAACTCATATACTCAAAGCAGCTTTGATCAAAAATCTTTGAAGATAATTCCACCAAATTTGAACGAATTGGCAAAAATAAAGATATAATCCCCATCAGGCAGGGCTGTAGATTGTGCAATTTTGTCTCTTCATCTTGCCACAATTAGTTCAATGCTGGGTGCTATTCATGATTTCTCAAAGATCCCTTATTTGACAAATTGCCAATTTAAACCAGGTACTTACTTTTTTGCTGTTTGTCATCTAAACAAATGTTGGGTACACAGATAAAATGCAATTGAACATACACAGATAAAAATTCAACCTTCTTTCATCTGGACTAAACAACCCAAATTGACGAGCAGAAGAGATAGGAGATGGATTTATCCAAAATAATCAATGCCAAGTTCCTTGATCAACAATTATCAAATGATGTGAATTATATGAATTATAATAATGAGAAGAGTTTTGATCTTTAATTGATTGAATGGCACAAAGATTGTATATAGATTTAGAGCACAAGTCTCAGGTCTGAAGGGGAAAATATAATTGTATTGATTGCACCTTCAAAGTCAAAGTTGAGGAGAAGAAGGAATAAACCAATGTGTGAGCTCGTCTTATATAACAAAGAGTATATGTGATTTTCTCAATTTGTTGAGGTTTGTTGAGGTTTCCAAAATTGTGGAATCAGGTTTTAGTTTTTTGGATAACAAAAGAGTCAACTGGGATTTTGAGAGTTACACTGCACGGTATGGTGGTGAGTTTTATAACCTTGAACCACAGCATTTCCATACCTACCAGAACCGACTTCACTACTACCATACCCACCTTGTCTGATTTCACAGTGAATCTTTATCCCGATATGTTGTTTTGATAGAAAAAAAAACGATGAGGTTGGTAAAAGTTACACAAAATGCGGGATAGGACAGTGGTTTCGGGTTGCGCCGGACGTCCGGTGAGCTTGAAACTCCGCCAAATTTCCCCCGTTTTTGGTTTTTTCCCAAAAACGCGCCGGCCCTGAGGGGGTAAACTTTAGCTAAGCAGCGCGAGGCGTACCTTTGTGCCTGATCAACTAAGCTAGGCGCAGGCGGGTAAGGCCTGAGTGGCTCACCACTACTTACCCGCATCCATTTAACCTCTGATTGCTAGTCTCAACACGCTAGGGAGGCGTTTGCTACCCTCAGAGTGTTCAATCCAGAGATCCAAGATCTTCTTAGGTGGAACTATCTTTGTTTGTTCAGCTCAAGATAAAGGCCCGGAGAGACATGTTCGGAGCTTCCCGATTTGGACCTGTGTCCACATGGTGGGTCGCGAGCCTCTCAAGACTTAGACTGATCCGTCTTCTTACAAAAAACATCCGTGCATCATGAAAACTTTGAGGTGAATGAGACAGAAACGTATCTACAGGTGAGAGGAAGTTGGAAATTGACAAAGTATGAAAAGGTAAAGAATTTGGAAAATAATGGAGAAAATTCGTGTATCATGATGGTGCAACGTGTATGTAGATAACATGTATGAAATAATTTGGAAAAAAGGCTTCATTAAGTTAATGAGGCACGCTACTCATCTCGGCTGTTGGACAAGAAGCCCAAAATACTGGTGCTTTGTTTTGGTCAAGACACCAACCATGCTGATACCGGGAGGAGGAAGGAGCGGGAAACGCATCCGCCATATAAAGCCGAACTCTAGAGCTCATCTTGTAGCGCTTGTATGCTTGTAGTAATAAAACGAGACATTCAATATTAGGGATTGGGAGTTCTGAGCAAGGACGATTGATATTTCAAGTTATCCTTACCAGGCTGATCATCATTCATCAAAGCAGAGAAGGGACGTTTCCTAAAGAGTGGGAGACGAGCCGGTAGAGGAGCCAAGCTGTCGGAATCTTCACTGTTGGACTCGTGACTCATAGGTAAGGAGAAAGATCGTTTGTTGTCCAACTTATTGCGCTTGTAAGTCTGAGGAGCTACAACACAGAAGAAATTAGAACGGTTGGTCTAATTACTCCCAAAGGAATGTGGTAAGAGATGCTTACCATTCAAGTAATCGTCCTCGTAATCTTCACTGTTGCACTCATGACTCATGGGTAAAGAGAAAGATTGTTTGTTGTTCAACTTATTGCGCTTGTAAGTCCGAGGAGCTACAACACAGAAGAGATTAGGACGGTTGGTCTAATTAATCCCAAAGGAATGTGGTAAAAGAACCTTACCATTCAAATCATCATCCACAGAGTAAGAGAAAGACCTTTTGAGAGGTGTGTGATAGGCTGGCGGGGACAGTGGAACAAAAGAGTCTTGTGGAGAGATGTAGGCATAAGGTCGAGGCGTTCGCGGGGCAAGCTGGGTTAAACAATCTGGGGGGGACGCGTCAATGACAAGACTGGGCTGCCGAGAAAAGCTGGGACTAGGGGATAGACGATGTATAGACACGATTTGCTGAAATATGTTTTGTCCTGCGGGATTGGCACGTGTTGAGACCATTGAAGTTTGGGAACTCTCATCACTTGGGATGCTTGTGCGAGTGAATGGTGTCATGGGTGACCTAGAAGCAAAGCGTGGAATAGATCTGTGTGAAGTTGAGGCTATAGTGTAATGGGTGGTGGGATCGCAAAACTGAGGAGTGAGGAGTGAGGTGGTGTCAATACTCATGGGGCTGGTGGTGTCGATGCTCATGGGGGTGGTGGGAGCTGTGGGAGTTGAGGTGTAAGGGATTGACAACATAGTATAACAGTTGATGGTGCCGTAAAGGTGGGGAGTAACCTGCTCGATGATGTCGTTAGTACTCGTGGAGTTGGGGGGAGTTGAGCTACGAGGCAACGTAGGAGGCAAAATCTGAACATCAGAGGACGGAACTGAGACTGGAGGATGGCAGCTTGAGAAGGAAGGGTTCCGGGTTTGGCGAGAGGCGTGGAATCGGCGAGCTGTCACGGCTGCGAATAATATGTATCAAAAGAAGAAGTGCAACAAAAACAATAAGTAAAAGGGACATCAACCTAGAAAACGAAAAAAAAAGAAGCTTGATACTACGTACCAAACCAATTTTTGGCCTTGGTAGCGCAATTCTTAATATATGAGAAACGTAAGACTTTCATCGTGTAGGTTTAGAAGCAAAGTGTGGCAGTGAGCTATGCACGACTTGAAATGTGTTGATCAAGAAAGAAGGAGAGTGATGGTCAGTATAAATACTCTGCGTGGTTGTCCATGACTTTGCATAGCGCTCCCAAGAACGCGTGATGATATCTAAGACAATGGAAGGGATTTCGGTTCGGAAGAAGGGGGATGGTAGCGTACCGATCGATCCATATGCATTTGTGCGATAAAAGAAACCGACAAGCACAAGGGTGAAGCTGCTTGCAAGAGAGGTTGGGAACGCATGTCCAAAGAGAATCTAAAAGAGATCACGGCAACGGTTCACGATCTGAGATCTTCCACAGATAGCTTGACATAGGAATAAGGATATCCTGCATGTCAGCATTGATATGTAATAAGAGAAACAGTTAAATAAAAACTGACCAGAGATGGAAAAAAAGAACAATGAGTGGAGGTTGGAGTCGGTCTTCTGAGAACTTCTGCGTTGATAAAGGTGACTAGAGCTGTTTCATTGGTATGTATGTACATTCTCCGCTACATAGTAGTACATACATATTTGTTTGTTTTCTTTCAAAGACCACGGGGGAAAAAAATCCGACATCAGTTTTAAGTCTGACAGTCAAGTCAACACCAATAAATTACCGTAAACGTCACTTTGCGAAATAATTTGTGAAAAGTTCCATAACACACAGTGCATTGATCATCGACATATGTGAGGGAAACGGAACGTTGTACGTATTGTGTATAGGCACTATGTTTGTTAATGATCCATGGATCATGAGATCAGGAGGAGAGGAATACCTCGATGATGTATTCTATATTGATAGTTTTAACAATGACAACACATGTGGATACATAATTCCAAGCTTTGACTCTCATCAACGAAGCCAATTTCTCCGAATACAATGTTAGGCTTGGCTCTAGCCAATGTCAAGAACCTCCAACGGTTGAAAGATTGTAAGGCTCACACCGCTTCATTCAATACAAACATTTCATTAAAACAACCATTCGAACCAGGCAAAAACAAGATATGACTGAAAAACACATTGGATCATACGAACAAAAAAAGGTGAATTATAAAGCGTCTTGGATACAATAGATACACCTATCAAGAGGCTCCTGGGGTTGAAAACACATTGGATCATACAAACAAAAAAAAGCGGATTATCAAGCTTCTTGGATACAACAGCTATCAAGAGGCTTCTGCGAGCTGGAGCCATCTAGCATGGGCAAGTAAGGGCCTTAGATCAAACTGGTGTGCGGAGAGTTCAAGGCCGAAGATGGCTACTCTTGAGACATATTGATTCATGAATTGCTGGTCGAGTAAATCTCTAGGAAATCCTTTTGGAGGGCGTGCAAGGAGATCGGGATCCTCTAAAGGGGCATAAGGCCCACGGTGGAGAGCTTTAGTAGCAGAAGTGCACGCCTGGTCCCCCTCCTGTGCTTTTATGACAATATGCAGCTCGTCCAACTCATGGAGGAATTCATTGAGATGCTGATGCCTCCAAAGCTTTGGTTTTCGGTATGAGTGACCAGCAGAGTCAACCTCATCTTCAGAATGAACTGTTCGCTCGGACAAGATTGCTTGCAGAGTGTGGTGTTCTGGGAAAAACGTCTTGAGAGTATGTCGGCGAAGCTGACAAACCTACAAAAAGGGTGGGGAATCAAGGGAGAATCAGTGTACTGACAAAAGAAAAGGATGAACGTAAATGAAAAGGCTGACCCGCTTTTGCAATTGCCGTTGGCGATTTTTCTCTTTTGCAGCCTCCTGCTCTTTGGCTTGGTTTGACTTCTCCTCTGGAGATTTCTGACATTGGCTTGAAAACTCGCGAGCCTTGGTGTTGAACCACCTATCAAGAACCTGTCGGAGATTTTTGGCGGTCACCTGTTTGGCATCGACATCGTAATCATCAGCATCGCCTCTCTTGTAGCACTTCTCCCACTCTTGGAGAATTATGTAAGAGATGGCTTCATTCCACTTTGACTTGATAGAATCGGTCCAGTCGTAGGTGAACCGTGCAAATCCAGCAAGGGCCAATGCGCCTTCACAAGTCGAGGCCACGGTTGTTGAATAATGAACGCCTGAATTCCTGAGGGCCACTAGCGAAGTGAATTTGACAGGGAGGATTGAAGAATTTGCGTCCTCAGCGGCGTGATCTCCAACTCTAGCAAGCTGAGCAGGGAGAACATGTGGGTGTTTTCGGCGGTAGAGAGAACAAGCCTGTTCAACGGCCTTATCAACGATGCGTCGACGCTCGAGTTTCCGTTTGTCCCATGCAGAATATTCATCGTCAGAAGGGGGTTCGGGGAGCGATCGATTGCCTTTTCGGCCTTTACCTTTCCGAACAATACCTAGGAGCAAATTGTTGTAATGCTGGATCGCGATGGCGAGTCTTTCATGTTGAGAGCACTCTACAGGCGGTTTAGCAAGCTTCTCCAAGCGAATGCCATCACACCTTGCCATTGTCTTTTGAGCCCGGCGTGAAGCTCCCAGCTCTTGATACTTGCGATTTTCAGCAAGATCAAAAACACCATCAACGTCGGATTCTTCAGTGTCATCGCCTACATTCTGTACATCATCATCAGCCGCAGCATGGTTGATCTCATGTGGATCTGTAAATTCTTCGGATGGGTGTAGATGATTGGCTGAAAGATAATATTGGTCAGCATACATCAAGATGAATGGCGCGAATTCGGTTATCAGAGAGCTTACATCTATTAACATCTGAAAAACCAGGTGACAAGGCCGGCGGGGCTTGTTGAAGAGAGATCCTGCTGCTTGTGCAGGCTGAAAATTGGTTTGTTGGTCTGTTGCTGACCCTCTTTGGAATTGGACGCTTTGACGAGTACTGGATTGCTGATTTGTTTGATTTTCAGCGGGACAGATGGGCATAATAGACGATTGACGAGGTTGATAAATTGTTGTCAAGTGTGTAGGCTGGTTTCGGGTTTGTTGGGCGTCATTGCGTTCAGTTTGTGGTGGTCCATCATTAGGGCGTGGGTTGAAAAATTGAGGCTGTACCGGAGTGACCAAAGGCAAAACCAAAGAAGGCTCGTGATTTTGCCGGAATTCGAATTGGACCCCACTCCACACAGGCCGTTGTAGAGAGGATGAGTTTTGCGTCTGAGAAGCTGAAGTGGAAGTGTGGCCACAGGGCAGATGGGGAATACTGTGACTGTGTTGCGCCGGTCTTTGCTGGATACTTTCAGCTGTAATTTGAGTTTGAGTATGCATCTGAGAGTTCCGGGATTGATTGGTGACATCATGAGTGATATCAGGAGGAGCCAGATGGAATGTGAAATCCTGTGGACGTGAACTTCGTGTATTTTGAGGGCTACTTGACACCCGAGTTTGTGTGTAAGGTCGATTGAGCGGCAGTGAATTGTAATTTCCAGTATTCTCCTCACAAGGTAAATCCAAAACGCGGGAATTGGTATTTGAAGGACGATGTTGAGGTGGTACATTGAGGTGGTTGGCTATGTGGGTACGGTTAGCATGAGGATGATTTTGCAAATTTTCATAGGCGTGATGGCTTGTAGGAAGGCTAGGTGGATTTTGATTGCAAGCCACGTTGCCCTGCTGACGCATTTGAACTTCCCGTGATTGTGATATAGCCTGAAGTTGCAAACTCAAAGCCATGGGAGAATTATTGAATTGGGAGTGGTGTGGTCAAAGGTGAGCTGGGTGTATAGGATTTGAAACGGCAGCGCATGAAGTTCGCAGATGGTTGTGATCCAAACAAGAAGGTCCATTAATTCCCCTTGTGGATTCTTGGAAATCTACACGAGTTGGATGGAGATGACCAGCTTCCGGATGACGTGGAATCTGATCATGCTCAGTGCGATACTTACTGGGGTCTAAAGGATCTTTTGTCTGATTCGATGTGTGTAAGCAAACAGCTGGGAGATGAGATGTCATAGAATCAGTAAGATACATCTTCGATTTTAATGATTAGGGACCTTACATGTAGGATTCCCAGAAGATAGTACTGGTGTTGATTGTTGATAAGTATATGGGTGTTCAGGCCGTAGATTAGGTTGTTTATCATTTGTCCAACAGAAGGACATTCTTGAAGATCGGTGTGGTGATCTATTTATGATATTAAGCAAAAAAATTAATCATCTTTACTTTACCAGTTTATTAGCAAACTTCAATATAGCAGAGAATTCGAAATTCAGGTTTTCAGATCAATTGAAGCTCTTAGAGGCTTATGTATACTTATTAGCTCATTATTATGTCATCTTATTTCAAAATTATTATTAAGATCAACATAGTTTACTTACAAAGTTATTACAAAAAGACAGAAAAAGAAAAGATAAGAAAAATTCGAAAATATAGGTGTAAAAGTTGGAAAATGGTTTTTAGCTTATTTATAATTAAGTTATGGGTTTTATAAGGTTAGAATATGAAAGAAAAACAGTTTATTATACAGGAACAATTTTAATATTCAAGGTTGATAAGGGGAAACAGAGGTTATTAGCAGAAAGGTACTTTTTTGCAGTTGGTAAACAAGGGTTAGGCGTGTAGTTTACATATGTAATGGTGTTAGTGATGGAATTTAAGGTTGCCAAGAGGATTTTCCGGGATTTTTAAGGTTATAGAAGATGATGTCATATTGCATGAGCAAGGAAAATGGAGTAGCAGCTGTGAAAAGTGAAGAAAATAGGTGAAAATCGTCGAAAATGGAGGTTTTCAGCTAATTACATATGTCAAATGACGTCAGAATAAGTTGGTAGATGGCTCATTCAACGCAGAAGAGTGGATTACATAATGTACAACCTTTGAATCATTAGTAACGGAGGTGTATGTAAAAAGTTATAAGGGAAAGAAGAAATTGGTGTGAATCTCGAATTTACAGTCACAAGACACATGTAACACCAAAAACCTTAACTTCACAACTCAATATCTTACTCATCACTCATCAGAAGTAGGTCTTATAGGTGTCAGAAATGATCAGTAACACGTGGGCTACAAGATGCACTTTAGTAATCAAAAATTGGAGCACATCTGAAAAAATTCGTAATCTCAAAAATTGGGTTTCAGCTAGTTTACAAGGAAAAAATCACCTGTATTCATCTTAAGAAGTGCTGTACATTACATCATTGCGTCATTGATCAATTTTGGCTGTGAAAATTACATCATACATTAGTAACAAGATCATTACATTGCGTCATTACATGGTTTTTAGGGTTATTTAGGCGGATTTGATTGGTTTTTGAGGCTGTTGACTGTTGTAAAGATTGTTACATGTGGATATAAGTACTCCTTGATGATTTTGGGATTGTAGCGCCCTTTTCTGCATCTTATACCTTTTGTTGTAGTGTTATAAATCATCATTTATTTACTATATTTGTACTAAGATCACTTAAATCCGCCCCTTCAAAAGCAAGGAGAAATTTATTTACGTGTGTTAAAGACTACAAGTCTAATTGGGAATAATACTTACAACAGTATTGCTAGTAATAAACATAGTGTGTGACTTTTTTGCGCTTAAAATCTGGGAATAATACTTAACAACAGTATTGCTTTATTTCTCTGGTGCCTTTTATCCTTTTCTCTGTTATCACAAAGTGGTCAGCAAGTGCCCTTGTGCTGGTTTCTTTGAAGAAGGCAGTCTTTAGGCAACTTCTACTATATTACACGTAGTAGATTATCCCTTCTTAGGTGTTGTAAAGCTCTTGTTGAGCTATAAATACTACATTGGCCGCTTGGACTAGCTCTCGGATCTTGATTTTGCTGAGGTTCAGAGGAGCAGAAGGACATTCTTGAAGATCGGCCGCTTGGACTAGCTCTCGGATCTTGATTTTGCTGGAATTCAGAGGAGCAGAAGGACATCCTTGAAGATCAACCGCTTTGACTGGCACTCGGATTTTGATTTTGCTGAAATTCGGAACAGAAAGACATCCTTGACGATTGATCGCGTTGTGAATCACGGTGATCTAGATTTGGCTGGGTTTCAGTGAGATAGACAGGGATGCTTGAAGATTGGCCACTTTGACAAGGACGACTATCTTGAACTTGCTGAACTTGATCAGAACAGAAAGACATTCTGGAGGACGGACGGGAAACATGAAGTGATGTTAGTGTTGCCGGCTGTGGTTGGCTTTGTTGCAAGCTATGGGGCTCGGTTTGTGATGGTAGACTACTAGGACGCGGGTGGGAACTTTGGGGCGGTGCTGGAGTCGGCGCAGGCAAAGGGAAATGAGGCGCATGATCTCCCCCAAAAGCAAATTGAAACTCATGTTGAGACGGTAAGAGGGATGTTTTGGTAATATTCAGAGCCTTGACTGGAGGTGATTCGAATATGGCATTGTGTGACAAAGAGGACAGATGGTCTCTTGGAGCATCTCCGTCGCGTGGATTCATAGGGTTCCATCTTGCTGGTTCTTCAGATCGCGCACGTGGTGGATTGTTCACATTGTGAGGATACTGTGATGGCGAGGCAGGAAAATTGAGAGATCTGGTGAGGACGTGAGCCTCCAAATGGTGTGGTTGCGATAAGTTGCTTCTGGTTGATTCTCGAGATTGCTCTGCAGATGAATTAAGTGGGACATCCGGCAGCGGTGATGTGGTTTTGGAGTGAGATCTAGAAAAAGACTGCGCTTGATTATTGCCAGTAGGAACTAGAACATCGTCGTGGGGTTGACTGCCCAAAGACATACAAGGCTGCACTGCCAGCATTAAAGAGGTTCCCAGATGGGAATACGGGTCCTAGTGATCGGATTCCCATTCTGCTACTGCTACACAGTTCCATGAATATTTCCTGAGTAGCCGTTGTGATATATGTAGTCAATATTTTGAAATGTGCGTCTCAATCTGAACAAAGTTACAGCATGTATTACACATGATTTTCTTATCTAGATGAGCAGATAACTGAACGGACCTGTATGTAGCTGATAGCTAAGGATTTACTCAGATGTTTGCACATATGTAGTGTATACTTTATGGCTCAGATGTGCAGTGCAAGATGATTTGATTCTCCATTCTTCTCTCAATGATATTCCCAGCCTAGGTCATGTTCCAACCAGGGAACCTATTTAATGCTGGCAGTGCTGAGTACGTGAGGCGGCGTGTGACGAGTCGACTGGCCCGCTTGGGTACATCCCAGGCTGGTTGTGCGTTTGAAATCTCTGATGCGGATGTGTGGGAGACGGGTGGTGCAAAGGTGAAGCGGGTGCAGACTGCTGGTGGTAAGGGTCTGGCAGTCGAAGGTGGCCGGAAGAGCTGATACTACCAGAAGTCCTGCGAGACGTTTGACCATAGTCTTCAATCAGAGAAGATGTGTGGTTGCTCCTCAGTGTTTCGCGAGATTGAGCACGTGAGTGAATATGGATCTCACAAGCAGGTTTGGTGGCTAAATCGATGTTGGTTGAGTCATGGTTTCGAAGTGGCTGGCAATAAGGTTGAGTTACGGGGGTGAGATTAGTCCGAGCATGAGCCTGAGTGTCATCGTACGCTGCTTGGGCTTGTCTATCGAGTCCAATCACAGGCTCCTGGAGGGTTACATTCCCGTGAAGCTGCGGTGAAGAGTGATTTGCTGAAGTTCTGACAATATGTTGGTTGCTGGTGAAATCGAACTGGGTACAACAACGCTTATGGTCCGATTCATCATGGTCGTTTGATATCTGACGTTGTTTTTGAGGGGTGACGGGGACGGCCAAGGGCACAGGTTGTATTGGAGACCCCGGTTGGGGCAACTGTTGAGGTTGACGCGAACGCTTACACTGCGTGTCTTTGTGTGGATGTGATGGGTAACGACGCTTTCGAGGGACAATCGGGCCTGGTTCATGTAAGTCTTCCATAGGAGCTTCAGTTGAGCTCGCAAAGTTTGGCAGACACATGATTGCTGAGTGATACGCTGTTGATATATGATAAGGTAATCTAGCGATTTTATGTCGTGCACTTGGGAGAGAAGGGGCTCCAGGGGTGACCTGGGAGGGATTATACAAATCAGAGGGCTCCGGAGTGGGTTCGCCTGGATTGGCAGGGTGCCGATTCTCAGGTGAAGCAACAAGCTGTTCGAGGTCTTCAAAGAGCTCTGAGATCGTGTCCCCCTGGTCATTTTGATCTGTAAATAAAACCATCCAGTCGCAGTGAGTACAGAATCAAATGAAAGCGTAAAGGATGTAGAGGAAGACGGACTGGACTGACCATTCAAATTGGCGTCCACAGCGGAATCACTAGAGCGAGAATCCAGGAGGCTGTCTGAACCAGAGAGTCATTTCAGGATCAGATTCGATGATTTACAAATGACAAAACCCTTGTGATAAGCAACTCACCATTGATCGAGGTTGAGGTGGCGCTTGAATGGTGAAATGTAGCCCCTAGGCCGTTGTGATGATTGACAAACACTGAAGCCTTTGGGATCTGTTCGTTTTCGGTGCCTGTATCCTCGCATAAGGTGATATCTTTGTCCAGAGAGCTTGAGCCTTGAGGAGAAACCAAATCACTTGAATTTCTCGACATATCCGGTGACGTCACACCATTGTGTTGGCCTTGAAAAAAATAGACATCCCTAACGTTAGCAAGACTATAAATGAAATACATAGCGTATCACATCATGTTATGGTGAAATGACTGACGCTGGTCTGTTATGGACATTGGCAGAGACAAAATGGTTGGCTAATTGCCGGCTTTGGAGTACAGCAGGAGAGTTCAGTAAGAGCGGAAGTTGAGGCAATTCTTGAATGGAGGATGAAGAAGTTGCAAGGGCGGAAAGATGATTAAACGATGTCAGAGGTGAATTTAGGAGGATCGCAAAGTTGACGAGTTTTGCCAAACAACATACATATGTAAAGTCAGCAGTACAACTTAGATATATGTACCAATGTGACGTAGAAACTTGAAAGTCAAAGACGGAATCTTGGAAAGCCCAGTAAATTCCTATTGATGAAAGGAAAAAAACTTACTATCAGCTGCCGATCATAAGCCCTCTTTGAGAGAAATCGCAATTAGTTTTAGTATGAAAGCAAAAAGCAACTTACCAGCGGCCGATCATGAGCCCTTCTTCGCTCTTTGATGAAGATAACCGGTGGACATCAAACTTTGGGCATGCCTTGATAGCACCACACCCTTGCCTTTCTGTTTTTCATCTGACAAAAGGTTGTGCGTATAGCCTCTTCACCTTTCAATTGGTGTTTCTGACTGGATGATTTCTTTGTAGACGTGGAATCATCGTAAGCCGCTGGCATACTAAATTTCCTTCATCTTCCTGGAGAAGAGGTCTTCAAAAATCTATCCAAGATTTCCGTTTCGCATCCAGTTTCTCCTTCCGCTTCACTGAACAGTACCCAATTTAGTCTTTGACTTGGCTTACCGGAGAAGTCATCTTTCTCACTTACTATATCTTACATATATAATCTTTTATATCTTCCTAGCAAAGAACTCTCAAATTCTGACCATACACACTCCCTAAAAATGAACACCGTGGTGGCTTCCAAACGTGAGTGGATATCCATTTTTCCTTCGCCAACATACCAACTCCTTTACCTTTGCGTATTGACTCTTCATTTTGCGGCGAAAAGCATTTGTCAATCGCCCTATGCACTTCAAAGACAGGGCTGGAGTGAAATCTACAAAAGCTCAAAATAAAGAGGTTGCTGATTGGCTGCCGAAGCGCAACTCGGGCTCTTATAAAGCTATGATCGACTACTTGAAATTTCTGCTCGGAAAATTCAACACTCGTACACCTTACCCACTTGGTCCAGAATCTTTCGAACTCAATCTGCTTCCTCAGGTGTCTGAGGAAGCTATTCTCACTGATTTGAGCGTTTTTCACAATGATCTTCCGCCGCCTAGTCCATCCCAACAAACAATCAAGCTCTTACCTCGAAAAGATGCCCGTTGGTTCACATCCAGGTCGTTCTTTCTTCAGGATCTTGCTCGGTTTTCAATCCCTCGTGCCACATTCGCTTGGGATTCAACTGTGAGCTGTCGTTGGAACCAGACAATGCTAGTGTTCTTACTGAAGCACTGGCGAAGGGGGTTGACACAAGGTATATTCTCTAAATATCCTATTAACGATATATACACCAGTGATTCGATATTTAGAGCCGTCATGGAGAGATGGATTCAAGGAAGGGGGGGGGAAGATGAAAAATATCGCAACCGAAAAAAGAAAAATCAGAGACGAGCTACAGTAGGTCACCTTCCTAACACACTTTTCCTTTAATATCTCAATTACTGATGTATTTTCTTAGCTTTTTTGTTACCGTCAAGACGCTCTAGAGGAGTTTGTCGAATCAGAAGACAGAGAACTGCTCTCCTCTGCTTTAAGCTTACTTCCGAGCGCTGGATGTTGTTCGGACACCGAGGACGATGGACCCGGTAAAGTTCGCGCGGTAGGAATGGTTTGGAGAAGTCGGGAATTCTCCGAGCTTATGAATCTGCTTGATGAGATTTCCTTCGGACAACAGAGGGCCTTGCACGGGTCAAGATGGGCGGCTGGCCGGCTGGACATGAGAAGATCCCCAGCAATTCGGATCTCATCTCACGGTCAAGCTCCCCGGAATTTACCATCAAATTGTTACTGTTCCGTTTGGAGGGATACATTGGGAGAAAGTCATAAAAAGCTCCTGACTCAAAAGCCTCCCAGTACAACTCTTCCATTGCTGATAGCAAAACTACGTGCATCACTTGTTTGAAATTGCCTCGTACTCATTACCAAATATAACTTGTTTACCATAGCACATATTCATGTACTTGATGCCTTTTGATAAAAGATTGATTCACAACTGGAAATTTCAAAACATAGATTACCTGTACTCTTGAATCAGATTGTTGTCCTTGTTATCAAAACTGTTAGGTCTTATATGGTTCTTGATGAATATGAACATTCTGATTCTAATTATCAAACTCAAGAGATTTACCACCATTATCTTAATTGGTGTTTTATTTAAACTTGTTTATCTCTGAGGTGAGAAACAAATCCAGGCGGGGTTTTGATATGTCAGTAATTCCGATTTTGAACATTGAAATATATATCTTGGATCTGGAATATATAATCAAGTTTGGAATTTTGAGCATCTTTGAAGAATACTTTCAGGCCGCTCAGCCCATAGCTTTTTCAAAAATCTGGTCCTGACGTTTTTCTTGATTGTCTTTTTTCAAATCCATGTTCTTGCTTCAACTTGACATTTGGAGCAAAATTTATTTTCAAGGGGATTTTTGTTAAAAACGTCACATTACATGAGACTGACTAAGACATTCAGCAGTTTGTTGGACAGTCAACATTGTAAATTAAGACACCAGAGGGTTGTTTAATTTAGACATGGTGTCCGCAGAAATTTCGCCCGAAGTGTCTAGTGCATAGCTCTGAGGCCCACACCGCTTGTCCTCAGGATCGGGGAGGTCACCAACGTGTGTCAAAACCCCTGCCGAGATCAACCAGTGGTTTTCACAAAGGATCTCTTGGTGTACTGGTTTTTGATTGCATAACGGTTTTGGATCCGACAAATCCTTTCAGAGAAGAGAACCAAAGAAGGATCATCTGCATCATGTTTAGAACTCTGCACCCCAATTACATCAATAATAGAAGGTCGAAGAAGCCCAAAGTGAGAGAGATCACCAACATTGAGGTTTGTGAAAAGCATGTTGAGTAGATCCCTAGACACGGTTTTGACAAGACTGGGCTGGTGGTCTACACTTCTCTTGTGTTGTATCCAACTGCCTGGAGAAAGGGTAGATGACACTTCACTGGCTTTGTCTCACATCCTACGCTTTGATGCACTAGTCCTTCAAAGAGGGGTGGTAGAGGATGTGGCCATAGCCTTTGTCTTTGAAACGCTATTGAGCTCTGTCTTGAGCCTATGAGTATACACTACACAAAAGATAATATTTTCTGGGCAGAAAATTAAATTATTGATACACAAAAATATTGAGAGGCCAGGAGAAGGGCAAAAAATAAATAAAAATATGCATCTTGTTCCCTGCGGTGAGAGCTTCACTCTCCATATTTTTCCATATTTTTACAGTCTGTATTGATAAGTGTACTAACAATAAACCTTCATAATCATCCAATTACAACCTGTAACAAGCACTGAAATTTGGCTCATTAGTGTTTAGAGAAACTTTTGATTTCTGAAAACACCTATAACTTTGTCAAATCTGCCTCAAAACACTCGATTTTAAGTGCATTAGAAAGCTTAACTCTTCCTCTCGAACTTTCATAAGATCAAGAACTATGTAGCTAGTATGACAATCATTCTATGGATCTGTATGTAAAAATGTATAAAAAAGATGATATCTTTTTTAGAAGACCAGCATGCTGTGTGGTCCTATTATGAACTATTTGGAGGACAATTCCAGCTTACCAATGCACCCAAAATCGAGCGTTTTGGACTGGAATTGAAAAAGTTATGAGTATTTTCAGAAATCAAAAGTTTCTCTAAACACTAATGAGCCAAATTTCAGTGCTTGTTACAGGTTGTAATTGGATGATTGTGAAGGTTGATTGTTAGTACACTTATCAATATGGATTGTAAAAATACGGAAAAACATGCGGAGTGAAGTTCTCAACGCAGGGAACAAGATGCATATTTTTATTCATTTTTTGCTCTCCTCCTGGCCTCTCAATATTTTTGTGTATCAATAATTTAATTTTCTGCCCAGAAAATATTATCTTTCTTGTAGTGATAAGTAGTGGTGATAACAACCCAAAAATCCTCAAACTCAGTCACATATTCTCGATAATCCTCAGCCTTGATCATCTTATATTATTAACAAGCTTGATAGTAACTTCCAAACACATTACATAAGCCTCAATGATTATTAAACTCACTATAGAGATGGACCTTAATCAACTTAAAGAGCATGATGTGGCACCAGCTAAGGCTTCCACGACTTCTGCCAAACCGGTCGCTGTTACCCCCAACCTAGTACCAAGTGATGAGTCGGAACCTGTGGCCCAAAGCGCGACTACTGCCCGTAAGTCACTGTTTACTTTCCAAACTTCGATGTGTTAGTGTTTGTTGACCTCCATCATAATTCAGCTCCAATCGGCGAGGAGGAAAAAGGTCTTGAGAACCAAAACGCACCCGCACAACCAACCTCTGCACAACCAACCTCGTCCACGGAAAGTTTTTGGTCCGTGTTGGAGAGCGAGATCAGTCAAACCACGCCTGGCCTGGGGCAAACCACACCCGTCGCATGTGAGTCTGACTTTTTCAATATTCATTCAGTGAGATAATCCACTGAAATTGATATCTTTCTCTCAGCATTACCTGTGTTGGTTGATCACGATATGAATCAAAGCACACCGGGCCCATGTGAGTCACGTCTTGTTCAGATTGATTTAAAGAGGTTCACTGAAGTTGCTTCTGTACACTCAGCCTTACTATCTCGTTTTGGATCACGCTCTGTATCACCTATGGTTGATACAATCAATCCACAATTTCTGTTGCCTGGAATTGAGACCCGCATAACTAAATACAACAAGCGGCAGCAGCTTGACAACAGAGAAGCAGAAGGCTCAAACTCTAAGAAGCGTCGAAACATCTGATTCAAATCTTAAAAAACCGCTAGTCAAAATACATGATTGATTCTCTGTTCTTAGACCAAATTATAGGGGCTCTCAAACCTGACCCGGTTTCAAAAAACCCAGTTGACCCAGTTGAGTTTTTGGCTGGGAGCTGTCAATAAATGTCAAATTTATATACAAAGTTACTGCCAAAAAGTCAACTGGGTCAACTGGGTTTTTGAAAACCGGGTCAGGTTTGAGAGCCCCTTATGAAGAAATCTGTTCTGATTTCCTCAAACATCAAATCTCTGATTTTGAGCATTATGTAGTCAAACCGTTGTATGTTGTATGGTCTTTCACTAGGTTTAGAAGCGCTTTTTTTCAATCACATTTGGGAATGTCAGAGCTCGTGATGCAGAACTGGTTTTTTGTTGCAAATTTCTTTGTGAATGTACAAAGACAATTGATGACGAATTCGCGTTGCTTTACATTCAGATGGTGTGCTTCTTTTTTGGTTTGATTGCCACCTTGAAATCAAATATCAAGCTTGACATGCCTAGATTGGACATACACGCTCGATCCTTTCGTGCTGCAAACAGCACCTAATCATCGGACTAACAAGGACGCACTCAAATATATTACCTCAATTTTTAAGCCTTCTGTCCATCTTACAAATTTCATCCTGATTCAACTCGCATTCATTAAATAAACACTCTACTTCTTTGATATAGAGTGTAAAACGATAGAACCGGTTGATCTATTTCCATTCAGAACCTATCATATCTCATCTTATCAGGACTACTCAAGATGAAATAAGGGAAGTCGGATCGGGAGTGGGAAGAATCCTCTTTGTAAGCCTGTTTTGAACTTGTGAAGACGTAAATGGTCTTGTCTTAAGACCCACTAGGCGCAAAGAATAGTATCTCATGATTCATTTTCTGTATTTGTCACCATTTGGATGTACTGTCTGCATCGATTAAGCTCTATTCAACAATGGTCCTATCAGTCATGAGATGAAACAGATTACAAAATACCAAAAAAACTGACTATGTTCCGCAGCCCTACTATACCTAATGTCTCCTCCGCTATTCCTAGGTGATCGGGTGGATAGGGCAACACAATGACGTGCCCCATAAGATCCTGAATGTCAACGACTACAGAATGTTCGACCTTTGAGTATACTCTGGCAGCCTGGAGGCGGGGGTGAGAGACAAAGCAGTCATGTGTAGAATCGGTTGCGTTCAGCTGGGCAAATTGGTACACTGCCAAAAAAACGGTGGGGACTAGCTTCGTTCGAAACGTGTATTGTATGTAGCCAAAACGACAATGTCCATTGATCTGATACTCAATTGCACTATTACCCTTACCTTTAACAAGTTGATTCGAGGTATAGTTCTTACCACATATCTTGAGTCGTTTTGTCTTTTCAACGTTTGTAGGCAGAGCAGGGCGGTCATTGGAAATTCTAATAGCATTAGAAAATTTCCCATAACGTTGATTAAGCTGTAAATTCAGATAGTCAAGCCAGATATCATAAATATCGTGGTTGAGGGTGGTCTCCTTAGACCAATTTGTCTCTGGCGTCCCCGTAAGACCTTGGATTATCTTGTCTCTAATTTTTTCATCCACGCGACGTAGGAAGGTAGGACAACCATTCAATACTGACTTGAATAGCCCTCTCCGAATGTAAGTCTGTGACATTGTCTTGTCTATGTCCTCTAGATACAGAACAAGATATTGATACACAGAGTCAATGTCCATATCTTAGCTCACCTCAATCAAAAGAAAACATACCTTCGTGATAGTTCTTGGAGACTTTAGTGAGCATTCCTATTACACGCTCACCAAACATTGATCCAGTGTATGGTGGAGGGCCAAAGAGCTCAACGATTTCGACCAGATGCTGCAAAAAGTGCAGATTTGGCTTCATACTGACACCCTGCCAAAAGGAACCAAGGTGTGCGCGATAATCATGCACCACTCCTTTGAAATATTCCCTATCTTCTCTGGTGGATGTTCGAGAAAGCGCACAGTTCGTGATTTCAACCAAGTAGATCAGGTTCGCACATAGAGCTTGGTCTTTGGCATCTTTTGAAATGTAAAGCTTAGGGATAATCGCCAGGACCATATAAACTGTGTAGAACGTGAGCCATTCAATTGCGCTGGGAGACCCACAGTTTGGAAGTCCGATCTTGATTGGAGGTCGAGTCATCCAACTTGGCGTCTTTGCCGTTGAAATTGCATGTCGAATATCGATCAAATCATCCATTGTGAGTGATGGATTGGAGGTGGTGGGTTCGACACGGCCTCCTTTTGGCTTTGAGGGCTTTGGGCCAGCACCTGAGGCTCTTTGTTTCCCTTTATCTTTCAAGGGTCTGGGAGACGCGCGAACAGTAATGTTGGAATTACTTCGAAGCCGACCTGGAGTTACCACTGGTCTATCTACAGTAGTAGTCCTCGAGGTACTTTGTGACTGAAGTCGAGTGGACCTCCGCAGATTTGAGCGCCCTCCATCTTCGGACGATGGAACCAAGAAAAAATCGCTCGAGGACCTTGAATCTGAAGCGCCTTGTGACTCTAGTGGAATCGAGGGCTGTATATTGGGTTCTTCAGAAGTCGAAGAAGGGACAGGGGTGCCGGTCGAAGTAGATAATTTCCCCCTTTTAGAATCTTTGATTTGACCACGTGTGCCACGTGGTCTGCCACGCTTCCTGGGTACCACATTGTTTGTTGAATAATTTTGGGTGCCTTGACTTGAAGATACCAATACCGATACATCAGAATGGGAGACACTCGATGCCTCGCTTGTGTCCTCAACCGCACCACGGGAACTTGCAGATTCTTCCAGATTGTTTTTGCTTGACCAGTCCATGGGGACACTGTCATTTGTTTCGCTCGAGAGGTCGACGTGCAGGCTATTGTCCTCTGTTGAGCTGACAATTTTGTTGGAAGTGGCCGAGTTTGAAATAGGAGGCTAAGACAGGTATAAGAAGCATGTACTTAGACATTCATTTCTTTCCACAAAATAGCACTGGTGTACCAAAAGAAACGTGCTTACATTGATCTTGTTGGAAGACAAAGATTTTGGGCTTAGTGGATTGCGTATATTTAAATGACCATCAGCATCAAGCTTTGCTTTGAGCTTTTTGCCAGCTTCACCAAGCCCTATAAAGCCAAATGCGTGATCCTTCAAAGTTCCAAGGAGCAAACAGTGCATAACATCGATAGTGACAAATTCGATGGGTCGCCAATATGGAAGCTCTGATAGAACTGAATATCGAAGGCCGTAGGAATTGAAAATCTTCTCTTGTACCGCTTCCGTGGGAGCATCCCTCCACTCTTCTGCATGTTTTTGATGGTCAAGTCTTTCTGGCCATTGATCGGGGTCAAGGATTTTTCGATCGTTACGCAGAAGACCGCAGTGCGCGCAAAAGTGAGTTGCCGAATGCGAAGCAAAACCAGCTACTTTTTGCATGGCTGGGAGGTCAGCTATAAGCGGCCAGAGTGCTGCACGTATTACACGGCCTTGAGGATAATCCGCCGTTGATGTGAAAAAAATGCCTCTCCAAAGCTCTTGAAGTTCAGCCACAAGCGGCTTCAAAAGTTCGTTCATTTGCTCGAGAGCCGGTTTGGAAGGTCCAGGAATTACCCCAAAAAGCAAAAGGTTTTCTTGCTTGTATTGTTTATCTGGTGGCAAATTATAACAGATGAGAAGCATTATACCGTGAGATTTTGGTTTGCGAGCACCTCGGCCATGAGGATTAAACCAATCCACAAATAATCCAAAGACCAGATTACCGCTTTTTGCAGTGAACGGTTTTCCTGAGAGCCCGAAAGATCTCCACATATCTCCATCCCATATGTCACACATTGTTACGCCATCGTACTCGTGCTGAAGTGGAGCGTCCAGAGCAGCTTCAAAACCAGGAATATTTAACATCCTAGCTAGCCATGTTTTAACGGATTGATAATGAAATTGACGACATGGTTTGAGGACATCGCCTGAATAGAGATCTCCTCCACATGAATGACGTGTGACTGGAGTGCCCTTTGGCGCACCAGGATCTCGTAAAAATCGCGAGGCATCACACTTCATCTTGTAAGTATTGTCGATTTTCTCATATGGAGCGCCATTAAGAGAAAAACATACTGGACACACAATCTGCGACTCCAGCTCAACATCGAGCCTTAGCATTGTGTATAGAGTGGATAGAGTTGTGGGTAAGCTCTCCCAATAAGGACAGCCGGTATAATCGATATCTTTTGCTGTTTGTTCAATTTGTAGCTTATTCATATGGAGCAAAGATCGGCTTGTCCTATGCTTGACTCCTTTGATGATACTTCCATGAGCAAAGGTCAACATTCCAATAAGAGATGATGGTCGCTGAAGATAGACCTCCGGTATCTGGTAGGCCGCCGTCGACACCGTTTTAAAGAGATGACGGTCTTCGCTTGCATTATCTTTTCCTTTGAGTGTCTGCGAGCTGCTACGGCGTCCAGGCAAGCACGAACCCATCGGCGAAGGTTTTGGAATCCGACCCCGGGATATGTGATTGATGGATCCCAAATCGCCAGTACTCAGGGACCTTCGGCGTCCCTGGAGTAGACAAAATCATCAATCCAAGAGCTAAAGATTGCAACACAATGAACTGCATGACACTTACACTGTTGACTGCAGTTCTACTGGTAGACGAGTTATAGGCTGTAGAGACTTCATGATTTCGAAAAGGTGTTGATACGCTGGCTGTCTCCTGTGTTAAGCGTAGCTTTCGCAGTTTAGCTTCGTGGAAGCCTCCGTTTTGCCGGCTTCTAACTTTCCCTTTGCGAAGAACCCCATCGATCAGGAAGCTTTCTGAGCCACATCCCAGCTCGTCGCAGCAGCATACGTGCTGATCTTTCATTCTTCAGCGGGGAAGGACGTCAATTAGTTTTTGTTTGGAAGGTGTGTATATGATAGGAGCTTGATGCTGATTTCTGATCTTCAAGTTTTCTAAAGTTAGCCAAAACATCTGATACTCTTTGAAACGAAATCTGTGGAAGATATGAGAAAGAAGTATTTTCGCCAAATACATTTTTTCAATCGGCACATGCAGTCATGATTTCACTGTGACCAATCGCGACCCCTCTGGGTTTTCAAGTCTTTGGGTTCATTGACAATTTCCTATTTTGAGTGAAGAAAGTCTGGATACGAGTTCCAGACAAGCTATCTGAAGTCATTTTGGGAAGGGATCATGAGTTTATCTTACAAATATATTCGCAGTTATCAAACAATGGACTCTTACAAATTCATCTATTCAAGAAGCTCGAACCTGATATCATTACTATCAGCGTGGAATAATTAGTTTCTTTGTGTTCCCCATCCAATTGTACATATTGAGAAAAAGGTTTTGAAGGTCGAGTAACTCCACCGCGATTCAATTAGTTGAATGTATTTGGGGAAGGGGCACAAGTGCTTTCAATACATTCAAAAGACACGGTCTAGGCATTTCTGTTCAAAAATTTCTAGTGAGAACTATTTTCTAGGAAAGTATAGTTGGTGGAGGCAGAATATATACATGAATGAGATGAGGGGAAATAAAAATCGTAAAGGAGATTCTTTGATTGAGCCAAAATATTTACATGCATGATAGAGTACGGTCATTGTTTGTCTAGAATCTATGTATGATAGAAGGGAAATGAAAACTGAAAAGAAGATATTTTGACAAAATTTTCTGATGTAGAAGTCCAAGACATTGTCAGTCACATGTAAAGATAATGGAACGTAAGAAAGTACAAAACATACTCCTTAGATTCCATAGTAGGCGCCGTACTGGTAAACGACATGAGTTTGGAATTGGTCGACCAACTTTGCTTTCAGCGTGCGACACGGGATGTGCAAATTCGGCTTGAAGTGCCAGACGATTTGTCGAAGAACATCTCGAGTGCACCAAATCGGCTCCCATTCAGGTGAGAGATATATGAGAAGATTCGCCGGTAAGGTCCAGATCTTGGTCCAGAAGCTGCGATCTTGGGCTGACGGGAGTGGACGTCTTCGCCGGTACATAAGTCTCCTGAGATTAGTACGCCGGGCGATTCTTGATGATCGACGTGGGCGGAGCAAAGCATTCCTATTCCTTCTTGCAGGTCGAGCTGCAGGTACCAGCGGATCTTGTTGAAGACGTGGAGCTTCCACCACTTCCACAGGGTGAGGTTGTTCCATTGCCTGTTGGTGATTTATGGCCTGATTTTCTATGGGGATATCATTGATCACCGCATCATCAATTGGCACATCTCTGATTTCCAAGTTTTCCATCGCGAGGTCATCTACTGCTGGTTGACTGTGCTGACGGGTGTTACTTCTGGGCCGAGTGAGATTTTGAGCTGCTGCTCCGCGCCTTCGGCTAGAACGGATAGTGGCGATAGAAGAGTTCCCCGCCAAAGTGAGGTTGCCGTAGATGGTGATGGACGACATGACTTTATGTTAAGCTAGTGAAAGTGATGGACAAAAGTTTAGGTCTAAAATAGACATGGAAGCAATTCGAAAAAGATAGAACATGAATTGACGAACTGTAGATTAGACCAGTAAATTTGATTGAGAGTTTGAGCGAGCTTGATTGAGAGGTGGAGTGAGTTTGATTCTTGTGACTTGAAGTAGAACCTGAATGAAGCAGAATGAAGAGGTTTGATGGTCATTATATAACAATCACTTACGATTCATGGAAAGTCAAGTCGAGAGATAGATGCATTGGCAAAACGGAGCCGATTGTCTTGATGAACACAAGGACGAGTGTCACCGTTGACGAAGTCTTGCGAACTTGCTCCAAACAACAGATGTGATCAACGGGGACAAGTTCGATAGAGAGCAGAACGTAGACTACCCGGCTGTTGTTTTGATGAATGGGGAATATTCGCCGCTGGGAAACTTGGACGAAAGGGAGTGATGGAAGGGTCTCTTCTGACAGGACCCCGGAAAGCTCCTGGAGAACAAACCGTCCTCGATCCATTCCGGCCCCGGCCCTCACACTTTCACTATTTGCCCCGAGGAGAGGTGGGTTAACATGGATTTCTCGGTGGTAGGAGAAGCGCCTTGATCAGGGCTCTCGATTACATATACTTTCAGTTTTGTACCACGTGTAATCACCGAGATATCCGTATGTAAGTACCCGACCCGAGCCGGTATGGATTTTCGTCGGTCTGGGGGGGCAAAAGTTACAAATCACACATTTCCCAAGCCACCAGTCATGTTCAGGGTCAGACATGTGTACCATCTGATAGCCCTCGTTGAGGTGCATCTTTTGCACCTGTCACATCTCTGGTACCATGTGACATGACTTCACAAAACACCGGTATCCGAAAACCCCCTCAGGACGGTTTGTTCTCCAGGAGCTTTCCAGGGTCCTCTTCTGACTTCATCACGTATGTATCATTATGTAAACTAAAATTGTACAGCTGTACCTGTTCGTACATACATACATACAATCCGAACTCCTGCGAAGGCCTACCAAATATGCCTTTCATCAGTTGAACTCCCTCACCGATGAACTCCCTATGTAAATCGGTCTATTACGATTTCCTCCAGGACCTGATGATGGGTGCAGAGGACTCCCTTCATGCACTTGTATTCTATCACAACGGGTACAAAGATATGTATGAAAGTTGTTTCAAGGAATTCATTCCAAAGTTGCCCATTGTTGAAACATGAGAATGCTAGCACATGTATTTGCCTAAAACGGATGGGTACAGAGTGATACATAGAACACGAATCCTCAAGTCTTTACATAGGTTGTATCATTGATGTGTGTACATATCTTCATCGTGTCTCAGGCATGGTTCAGATCATAAGCACAAAGCTGGTGCTCGAGGCTCGAGTTGATCCTGCTCAACCTGAGTGGTGTTACTACTGAGGGGCAAGGCTGAGTTATGAGATTCCCGCGAACAAATGCTGTAGAAACGTCGTACATCTGCTGACAAACCAGCTCACCGGACGTCCGGCGCAATTTTGGTGGACACTGTGTATGTTGTTTCGATAGAAAAAAAACGATGAGGTTGGTAAAAGTTACACGAAATGCGGGATAGGACAGTGCTTTCGGGTTTTGCGAGGGCGGAAGCATGAGTTCTTAAAATTACAATGCCTAGCGAGGACCGCGAATTCCAGTGTGCATTTACAACAAGTTGTAATGCCTGTATTGTGTTGACATTTATGGGCACATTAAGCTTAACTAAGCCCCTCTCGCGCGGCTGCGTCCGCGCCCCTCGAAGAGGGGCTTACAACTGACTCGAGTTTTTTGGCTGGTGAGCTCCAAAAGTTAAGTCCCCTTATGTTGTTTTTTGGACTTCTACTCAAACCCTCACCGTAGAAATTTGTGACCTTCAGGTATGTTCATCTTCATGAGATGCTACACATTCTCATACAACTTTTATATGTTTTTGTTGGAAGCAAGGGTTTGCAAAAAGCGTTGCAAGTTTGATGAGAAGTGTAGCTGTGAGTTTCAGCCAAAAAGGCTGTAAGTTTTATTTGGTCAGAAAAGGCCAATTTGATGTCCAAAACAACCAAGGGTTTTGTCATTGTAAAAACAGTAAAGGGCCCCGTTCTACCCTCTTATGTGTTTATGTAGTCCCTCAAACTCCTACCACAAATTGCAAAGTGTGGTACGGATACAGCAGTAGAAACATCAAATCAGTGTCAATGTCATCAAATAAAAATTTAGAACAGCTTGGCTAGCGCAAGAAAGGTTGTGCTAGCCAAGCAATGGTGTTGAAAGAATTTTTTTCCATGATTTCACTGAAAAATAAGAATGGAAGCTCAACACGAAACCATCCGAAAGAGGCCTTACATCGATAACATTGCCGTGCACTTATGTCATACGATGAAGGAACAAGGTGTCACTCCAAAGGAAATATTTTATGCTCTCCTGAGTTCAGAGCACCCTTCCCTGAAAGAAAGTCGGAAATACTGGGGAGTCAAGCGGGGATTTACTTCAACTTTGCAAATTTTATACGCGATCAAGGATCTGGCGAGTAACAGTCAAACTGGAGACGTTAGATGGATGGATTTCATTTTGACCGAGGTGGATCTATATACTGATTTCACCCATATCAGTTTTCAGACTGATGATGAACTTTATGATTATAGGCGCAGGAGCAAATCCATAAGGAGGTCTGGAAAAAACCTCGAAAGTTTTACAGTTCTCAGAAGATCACGCCCACTTTTTTTAAACTGGAGGAGCTGGACAACCGCGAAAATGCTATAAGGACATCAATGCCTTTTTTTTGGAAACTCATCTATCATCAAGTATCCGCTAGGGCAAACAACCGCGAAGATCTCATGAAGAGCGCTCCCGACGATGGTGTGACACTGGAAGACAAAGAATCCATAATGAAGGACACTGGAACTGAGGGTGATTCACTTCCTGAAATGCAAGAGTCTTTGAGCAAAGAAGAAACCCGTAATGATGAAGGTATCGAGTACGTTCCTGAGGACGAAGAGAAGGCTTGAAACAATTGGGCTACTCTGGTTAGTTGTTCTTGTTCCATGTTACAACATCAAGCTACATCATAATAATTGTAACATAATAACACCAGGTTGCAACAACGATATGTTTGATGGTTTCCTTTCTGTCGAATTACCGTTACAATGCCCTACAACTACACAACGCAATGACATTCTTGGCTTGCGGGGTTTCAAGTAGAGTTTTTAAATATTTAAATAAGCTTGGTCTATCCAGTGGTCGCGAAACGGCCGTATCAGCAATGGATCATCTACGTAGCTCAAGACAAGCCACCCTCCGGGCGATAATGTCCAAGCCTTACACTATAAGTCCTATTGTGTGTATGGACAATTTTGATATCCTGCAAAAGGTCCAGAACCTACGAGTGTAATCAACATCACTCCTCTTCCACGGAACATGGGGGTATGTTCAGTTCCTACCTGATTATCTGAAACAAGATTTCCAGGATGCGAGTGCAAAGGATCTCCTTCGAAATTACCATGACGCCATTACAGTTGCTCAGAAGTCTCCGGTTCAGTTTAATCTCTTCAGGGCAAACTCAAAGGACATGAACCACTGGCGAGCAACTCGGAAGAGCCAGTTTGCTGCTGCTATGTACAAGTATGTAATTGAACCGGGAAAAGGCCCTTCAGATCGCATATCCACCACTCCGCCAGCCATCGACCCGATCAAGCTTGATGACCGTAGTATATTTCTCTTGGAGTTGATGGATGCCGCAGATAACTCGGCGAATGGAGTCGGAGAAGTGTTGGAAGAATTAGCTTCGCAATTTGGCCTGACTCATGAAGAGTTGGCGAAATATGTGCAAATTATTCAGGGAGATCTAGGGACGTGTCAAAACATCGAGAGTCTTCAAAAGAAAAGAGCACCAGCTGGCACAGCAGCGGGAGGTTTGTCTAGTGTAATGACCATTCCCAGAGTTGCTCATATCATGTGGAACATGGCTCAAGGAATATTATCTCACCATTGGGGCAATAGCCAAGACGTGAACGACACTGGCGCGTGGAAGGCATGGCAAGCTCTGGGTGGTTCCCTATTGAAACCACCTTCGAACATGGATTTTGGTACAGTCTTACGAGCGGTACACGCTATTCATGTCGCTACTTTGGTGTCATGCTTGAGGTGAGTAATCATACAATATGTACGACTTTTACATCTTTGCTGTTACTAAATAAATACCACATTTGTTTCGGTTATCTCTTCATCTCAACCAGAGACACGATGTCAAAATACGATACTCCCCCGGACCTTACGAAAGAAGGGGTTGCTCAGGAAGTGATTGACCGGTGTTATGACAGTTATTGCAGCCCTGAGTCTTTGAGAACTTGTCAAGATCAAAACGACATCAAAGGTTATAACTTACGCCTCCAATTACGTGACTTTGCAACCGTGGTGGAAGCAGATCATGCAACCAGTGCGGGAGATGTCGGGAGACTCAAGTTCATCTGGAAGCAATGGGCGTTGATGGCCCATGGCTTGAAAGGACTTCCGTGGTACGCTCTACATCTGACTCGCTTCCTCGTGCTGGTGGAACACGACTTGCCCCCGGCTTTGGCCAAAATCGTTTTACATAGCTTGTTGGTTCCATCTGCTCGGCGGCCTGGTCATTTTGTGGGAAATGACCTTTGGCTCGAGCACCAAAATTATTGGTTGAAGCATTTCTTCAATCAAAATGTGAGTCTAATCATTGATTACACCAATTGAGGCACGCTTTGGTGGAGGTGTCCACAAGGCATGAACTGTCACGTGACAGGTACAACGACATGTCACAAGGATGAGGGTTGGAATGGAACTCGCCCAAGTCCAAAGTTCCGCGAGATAAGTTCCATCCCCTCCTCGCTTTACTCTTGAAACTAAGAGATCAATCCCCTGTCTCAAAGTTTCTCTTTTCAATTCACATTAAATTTCAAAATTCTCCACAAACAACACGTTGAAGTTTAAGAAGAAATCAATTCAGAGAACGAAAATTATTAAGTTAAAATATATGAATCACAACTTAAAAACAGAATCAACAAATCAAGTGAATTAAAAAACCTTTGAAGAGAAAGCAAGAAGGAATGTCATTCAAAAATCAAATCAACCAGACCGAGACAAATGTAAACAACTCGGTCCTAACAAGAGCGCAAGCAGCTGCCACGGGTGTTCGGCCAGGAAATCGGTTGGTAACACCAAGACGAGGAACCAACGGAGGTGGTAGGCCGAGGAGTAACATTTCCAATCGGACCCCTACGAACCTTCGGTCGAAACGCCCGGAAAGACCTAGAGGTTTAAAGAAAACAAGAGAAAAGAAGAAATTAAATGAAAGACGTCAAAACAAGAATCAAGAAATTCAAGTGGTGGAAGAACAAGACACTCAAGGTGATGAAGAATGGGGAGGAATAGGAGGAGAAGAAGAAGAGGAGAGGGAAGAAGAGGAGGAGATAAGAAGCGTGCAGGAGAACCATCAACAAGGTGAGCTATCAATCTTACCAGAACTTCCTTTGATCCTGTTTCCAGTCATCTACCGCAAAACTCCCATTCCCTCGTTTGAGACCCCCATCCCCTCATTCTCAACCCTCATTCTCAAATAATCCAAGAACGAACGTTACCTTCATACGAAGATGTGTCAGATATCTGTTGATGAAGGGGGATATGTCTCGTCTCCTGCATCGGTCAATATCAAGGAAGACATGGAGAGGAGACAAAGGAGACACACTACACTGAGCCTCCGTATCAGGCAAGAAGGTGTAGATCGTAGGAAAATTACCTCCATGTTATTTCTACTTAAAGTCTGTCACAGGAGGCGAGACGAAATGGACATATGCCTGGCCCGGCTTAGAATAGGGCCCAGCCTGGCCCGGCTTACAGTAGGTGTCCAACAGCCTGATCCGGCTTAAAGAATAAGATCCAGCCTGACCCGGCTAACAATAGGTGTTCAAATCCGTTATCAATAAAATCTCCACAACAATACTCGACGGGAAGGAACAGGACTGACAAAATTGGAATCTCTCCGGAAAACCTACGGGTATAACAGATTCCAGGAGGAAGGTGTTAGGAACTCTGATCCAAGAGGCCTATGATCGTGGTGACGACGCGGAGGCAACCTCTTTGCTAAAAGTGTTAAACAAGAACACGGTTCAGCCTAGACAAGAAAACCCTTACGTCATGGACGAGGACGATACTCACTCGAACAGCTCAAGTGAAACCTCGGTAGCCTTCGTGAAGGAAGTAATTCCAGAGCGACCAGTCCAAGCTCCAGTCCCTCGAGTGGCCAACCCAGTCCCTCTCGTACAGACCCAACTCCAGGTCTCAGACAATCCTAGTACGCAACCTTCGGATGAATCAACTTGGTTCGAAGGCGCGTTATCCAAAGACGAGTCAGACAAAGCTCATGCTATAATGGCATCGAAGAAAGGTACCCTCGAAATGAAGAACGGTGATATCATTCACAACGGGAGGATTTTGAAAAGCGGAAACGCACAAATGAAGGAATCATTGGCCCCACTGTCCCCCGGTTTAACCATCATTCTAAAAAATCTATCCTCATACATTCAATTGACAGTATTCAACGATGAATGGTTGATCAAAGACCAAAAGGCGTGGTCTTCACGGACTACTAAATCAGATAAAAAAGAATCAGGTGAAGCCCGGATATATGGTGGAGAAGCACCGGTGGAAGAACTCACTATTGATTTTGAGGCCTGGGGAGACTGCATGGAGCTATTTTGCGCCCACCTGGTGTCATGTGGATGGAAACCTGTCGCGGATCGTTTCGAAGGTCATATCGCGGTAGTGAAGAAATTAAGAAAAGATTTCGGCTGGATGGTAGCGTTGAGGTACTGTCGGTTGGTCAGACAGGGTGTTATGCGAGAGACGGTAGACAAGTCTATAGGAAATTACGCGGAGTTGCAAGAAACGTTGTTAGTTGAGGCAAAGACAACCGCGGAAAGCTATAACGAGCGACATTACCGAACCAACCCCTACGCACCAGGAAGACCAAAGGCCAGTGTCTGCCCATTGACCAACAAACCGAAGTCGAGCACGACTACAGGAAACTCCTTAACCCCAACAGAAAACCGCCACTCTTTTACGAGTAGTTACAAAGGTAACGGGAGGAAAGGGAGGGGTGGAAGTTTCAGAGGTCGATACGATGATGGTCGGAAAAGGGATGATTGGAAGCGCGATGATCGTTACGCTAGTGACAGGTACGCTAGTGAGAGGTACACGGGAAACAGAGGTAGAAGCCGGAGCCCAGACCGAAGGGACAGAAATGGAAACCCCGTAAAGGGTAAAAAAGCGTAAGCTTCACAATTCAAGTGGCGTAACGTTGTACAAAATTGGTTGAAATGAAGTCGTATGACAAATGCCATAAGAACAGAATGGAACTAACGTGGAAAACTGTTCCTTTGCCCAAAACCTCCTAACCTTTTGCCCATAAATAAAAAGATCCCCCCTGCCTGAAAATGCCGCGCAGGTCCCTGCCGAGAAATATCCCGTAAACCAGAGCAAGGTTGACGGAAGAGCACCAATTGAGGTAGAGTTACCTCCATGCAGCAAAAAACCATCCCCCCACTCCACACCATCCGATTCATGCTGTTCCACATCCAAGCTATCTCCTCAAGAACCACCTAACGACAAACGGCGTGAACCCAACGAGAGGTGTGACCGTTCAACCCTTCGAAATAGAATTGATCAGTTACAACAACAGAGAGCAAAGGGTAGGGTATGGCCAGAAAAGCCATCATGTGAAATGGATTTGAGTAAGTGGAGAATAGAACTGCGTCGGTATGGTTTGGAGAGAAAATACGCACATGTTTTAAAGGGTTTTGAGCACGGTTTCGACCAAGGAATCCGAAATGCAAGAGTACATGGGATGAAGTTTTTCTGTCCACAAAATCATAAATCAGCATTATTAGCAAGGCAGAAGATAGAAGACAACTTCAAAATGGAGGTAGAAAATGGGAGGATGTTCGGACCATGGACGAAAGAAGAGGCTCACCAGAAGCTAGGTTTCTTTCGAACCAACCCGTTAGGAGCTGTCGTCAACGGTGACGGCTCCTTCAGGCCGATCAGCAACCTGTCATACCCAAAAAATGACCCAGAAATCGAGTCAGTAAATTTTAGAGTAGATAAAGACGATTTCGAAACCACTTGGGATGATTTCAAAACCGTAGCTTGGTTTATCACTTCTCACAAAGGCAAGCTGGTGTTGGGAGTCTTCGATTGGGCGAAGGCCTATTGCCAGATCCCTGTGGCCATGGACCAGTGGAAATTTTTGATGATACTGGATTTTGAAGATCGGGTGTACGTAGACCCAAGAGTTCAATTTGGCGGCGTAGGGGGGTGTGGAACTTTTGGAGAAGCAGCAGAAGCATGGAAGGAGATTATGATAATAAAATTTAACTTACTAAAAGGCTTTCGCTGGGTAGACGACACCCTATTCGTAAAACCAGCAGACGGGTCCAATCAAACGACGATGCGCCAGATAGCCAAAGAAAGCCAAAAACTAGGAGTCGAAACAAACGAGAAGAAGTGGAGAGAATTCAATACGGAGCAGAAGTATCTAGGCTTTATATGGAACGGAGAAAGCAAAACAGTACGATTACCACAAGAAAAAATAACCCTACGGATGTGTCAAATAGAAGAATACGCACAAGAAGAAAGGCAGTCCTTCAAAAACACCGAAGTACTGGTAGGAAGGCTAAACCATATCACCTTTGTCTTCCCTCAAATGAGAGTATATACTTCAGCAATTTATCGCATGATGAAAAATTGGGGAAACAAGTATGCGTTAAGACACATCTCCCCTGAGATACGAGAAGATCTAAGGATATGGATGGATACATTACGAGAAGCAGATCCTTTACAAGTGATTCCAAAGCCAGAAGTTCGAAACGTAGGGTGGGTGGGTGATGCCTCCACCTCTTACGGAATCAGAGTGATAATCGGCAAGAGGTGGTCACAGTTTAAACTTAAAGACGGGTGGAGAGACTCGGAAGAGAATGGTGACAAACGCGGTATAGCGTGGGCCGAAACAGTGGCAATCAGGCTTGGTTTACTAATGGTAGAGCAAATCGAAAGGGTTGAAGGAAGAAACTACTTAGTTTTGACAGACAACACGGTGACTGAAAACGCGATCGTGAATGGGAAATCAAAAGATCCATTAGTTAACGCAGAATGGAAGGTAATCCAAGGCCACTTACTAGGAAAGCAATACGCTATAACTGCAAAACGAGTAGTCTCCGCCAATAATGCAGCAGATGCACTATCGCAAGGAAAAGTCTCGAACAAAAAGCGGCAGGATAGGTTGTGGATAAACATACCACATGATTTGCACAAATTCCTGCAACAAACGTGAAAGAAATGCATATCATAAGGTTTTTTCCGTGAGAAACAGTGAGAAGTTTGTAAAATACCAGAACTCCAATCATCGCCAGCTGGGATGATCGGTGTGAGAGAATCGCTTCGAGACGCATCTAAACTACTGCGAACCAGACCAGAGTTAAATGAGCATAAAGTGAAGACCTGCAATACGCCAGCACCCGGATTGGAAGGCAGCTCCTACATGAGATGCCCAATTGGAGTCGGTTATGAGAGGAAATGATATTATACAATCAACCATTTACAAAACGGAATAGATCATGCCCTCTACGAGAAGGAAACGACTCACCAACACAAAACCCCATCTGTATGATGTCCCCGGTCATTTTGGGAAAGCAGCAAGAAGGTCGTCAAAGCCAGGAGCGCATCTAGCCATAGGAAGTTGGGCCCGTACTACCCTTTCAGGCTACTCCTCAGGCTTATCGAAGTACATAACTTACATAGAATCGACTGGGAAAGATTTTGATGAGGACGTTCCTATTAGTAAACGAGATATCTACGGCTTCATTACTTGGGCTGGGAGAACAAAGATCGACTTACCTAACCCTCCCAAGAAGCCGATTGCGGCGAGGACAATCAGCAAGTACATAGATGGTATAAACGCTTGGCATATTGTGAAGCATCTCTCAAAGATTGTAGTTGATAAAGACATAATCAAAATGCTATTGAGAGCCACGAAACGAGCGGAAGAAGGGGAGGTGTTAGAATCAAGTAAAAAACTGGTTACAATTCAAAAACTCTATAAATTATTGGTAGACTCGTATGGGAAATCAGACTTACACAATTTAGTGGCAGACATCGGTTTGATAGCGTTTTGGGGGATGATTTGATTAGGAGAAATATTTAGAGAATCAAAATCTGTCGGAGCAATCCTAAACCATCACATCGAATTCGGAAGATCAACAAAAGGAGAGTGGGCGAAAATTCACTTACGGAAAGGGAAAACGGCCTCTCCAAATGAGTTCCAAGTAATACATTTGCAATCGCAGCCTTCAGTCCTCGACCCGGTGAAAGCGTTGAAACGGATCGTTCAACGAAACCCAGAGAAAGGACGAGAGGCATTTCTTTTCCAAACTAAAGACGGTCTTGTAGGAAAGAAGGTCTTCATAAGATATGTAGAGAAAGTTTGGGGGAAGGCTGCGTTAGACAAGTGGTCCGGCCACTCGTTCCGCGTAGGCGGTGCTTCCTTGAGAGCAAATCTAGGAACGCCGGAAAAAGTAATAAAGAGGGTGGGACGTTGGAAATCTGACTCTTACAAGCGTTATGTCAAAGAATTCTCGGAAGAGGACACAAGATCTACAAAAATGTTTTTAGATACAATTAGGTTGAAAAATTGAATGGGAAGGTTTTGAACTAATAGGAAAACAAGGTTCCACAAAGTAAGAAGGGGGCCGTACAAGCCCCAAACTCTAACACTCGCGCAAGCGGAGTTAAGCCGAAGGAGAATCTCGTTTAAAACGAGACCCCCGGAAGTTAACAGATGCAACTCAGCGGTGAATCCAGCCATGCAGTTACTGGGGTTGACCGATAGGCCAAGGACGGCATGCCTGTCCCATACCTTCCTCGGATAAAGGGT